TATGAAACTTAGTTTGGCTGGATATGAAATTCTGGGTTGAAAATTATTTTCTTTAAGAATGTTGAATATTGGCCCCCACTCTCTTCTGGCTTGTAAAATTTCTGCTGAGAGGTCTACTGTTAGTCTGATGGGCTTCCCTTTGTGCGTAACCCAACCTTTCTCTCTGGCTGCCCTTAACATTTAGGAAAAGTGGTTTAATGGACCACTCACAGTTCCACGTGGCTGGGGAGGCCTCACAATCATGGCTGCAGGCAAGGAGGAGCAAGTCACATCTTACATGGCAGCAGGGAAGAGAAGAGGTTGTGCAGGGAAACTCCCCTTTATGAAACCATCAGATCTCATGAGACTTATTCACTGTCCTGAGAACAGCAAGGGAAGACCTGCCCCCATGATTCAGTTACCTCCCACCGGGTCCCTCCTATGATATGTGGGAATTGTGGGAGCTACATCTCAGTATGAAATTTGGGTGGGGACACAACCAAACCATATCACAGTGTATATTTATATTTACATTTCATGAAAGCAGCTTATTTTGTTTTAAACTTAGTTTGTTGTTGGTTGGTTGATTGGTATGGCCCTTGGCAATTCTAAACCGGGATTTCCAAACATAGAGTTTAGTTTACAATTTTGAATCTTACGTTTGTTTTCCCTGTGGAATTTTGAATCTTTTAATAATACTCTTCTTCAAGGCCTTGAAAATATTGACAGACATCTAAGATTAAACTGTGGAGTTACATAGAAAAGAAAGGATGATCATGCCATGTTTGAGGAAGACACACTAGAAACAAGCTGCTGTATTCATTTTTATCTTTGTTTTGTTTTATTTGAATTACTGCTAAAGAGGAATCTTGAAAGATTCCTTTTTTTTTTTTGAGGAGTCTTTGAGCCTCTTTGAAGATTTTTATATAAGAAAAATTTCCAATTCATGTATTTGACTGATGTAATGTAGAAAATACAAAGACCAGTATTGAAATTACTGAATTCTCTCTTCTTGTCAGCCAAAGATGACTTGGCTATTGATTAAGACTGCAACAGATGTGAAAGTTCCAAAAAAGTGATGGAGCCAACTCTGAGACAAACAAGACATTGGCTTTATGGTTGTCCTTAGTGATGGTGGTTGTTTTTTTTCTTTTAAGAATGTATATAGAGGCCGGGTGCGGGGGCTCATGCCTGTATCCCAGCATCCCAGCACTTTGGGAGGCCAATGTGGGCAGATCACACGGTCAAGAGATTGAGACCATCCTGGCCAACTTGGTGAAACCCTGTCTCCACTAAAAATACAAAAATTAGCCAGGCATGGTGGCAGGCACCTATAATCCCAGCTACTCAGGAGGCTGAGGCAGGAGAATCACTTTAACCCGGGAGGTGGAGGTTGCAGTGAGCCCAGATCACACCACGGCACTCCAGCCTGGTGACAGAGTGAGACTCCGTCTCAAGAAAAAAAAAAAAAATGTATACAGAACATTTAAAAAACTAGAGAAAATATTTGCACATATATCTAATACTTCAATCCTTTTATGGAACCTGTTATTTTGCTTCCATCTTTTCTTTTTTTCCTGTCAATTCTCTTTTCTTCTTCTATCCTTGACTTCTCTTTGTTGATTGTGAGTTTATTGGCATGAACTTTCTCAGAGATGTTCCCAAGGAAGCATTTAGTCTTGGTAGTTTAGTTAGCAAGTTGGTGTTTAAGATGACTAAGAAAATATAGCACTACCCAGATAATCCCATATCCCATGATCTACTTGTTAAGGAATCAGAGCTCCATAACCGGAGTCATCTAGACTCACTGCTTTCCTACAACACTGGCATCATCATTGGTGGATTAAGATTGAATGGGGCATTGTTGATCCTCTTAGCAACGGAACCCTGCCTTGACCTAGCTTAGAGAACATGTGATGTTACATGAAAAACAGATGAGTAACACAATGCATATTAGAATATAATAAAATCAGTTTCATAAAGCCTAACGTATTAACTTTAAGCATAAATATCCCTAAAAATTGACTACATCCCCAAGAACATATCTTGTCATTTTCCATTTGCAGGAAAGAAAAGCAATGTATGTAAATGCAATATATTCAAAATTATTTTCTGATTTAGAATATTTATTTACTATCAGTGCATTGCTAATTGCCTGTAATTTTGCCTTCTGTAATTATGCTAATATGATGAATAAAGTGTGGTCTGCAGTATTAATTTTTATGCCTATTTTTCAATTGGATGGCTCTGCATGCATTTATTTATGGCTTAGATGCATCTCATCTATGTGTGTAAATATTTTCTTGTTTGCTTATTTGCCTTTGCTTATTTGCATTTAATGAACTAAGATTTCACCTCACTTTACCATATGCAGACACTGCTCCACTTATTTTTCTAATAGTTTATATGTCATGCAATATAGCATTTTATGTTAATAAGGTATCTTTCATATAATGACATTATGTGTTATGCCAAGAAAAGTCTTGCTATTTTGTGTGTGTGTTTAACGTTATCTAATGTACGTCTATGCCATTAAAGTCAGTGATATATTTTGACAATCAGTTATGCTCAGCAACTGAGTATTTGAAGGAAGCAATGTAGTGTAAATATTGATGTTTTATGTGTAAAATATCTATATTTTTCAGGCAGTTCAGGGTTAATGTATGCTTGAGTCCCTCAGAGTAAGTCACATGTATTAACACATTGGCCTCTGGCATAGTTTTTTGAATATCACCCAATAGCTGGATTACTAGGGCTCATTGTCTTCTATGGCACAAAATAAGATTAGGCTGTGATTAGAAGAAATCACACTCAAGTGAATACAAGCTGCTGAAATAATGTTTCCAAGATCAAATGCAATAACTATGACCAAGGACAATAGGTCTTTTTCAAAGGTTTCCATATTTTCATTAAATTATATAAGGAAAGGTCTTTATTTAAAAAATTTTAAAGAGGATGAGTTATATTTTTAAAAATCTGTTGTTTTGAACTTGACACCCCAAAAGTTTAACATTAGTTTTAATCTTACTTAGATATCCCTAGTTGAAGCTTGTCAAATTTTTTATGTGGTCCTGGAAGCATGTATGTAATTTCAGAATATTAAAAAATTACATATTGCTTTTGGAGAAATTAGCTTACATGTTACTAGGGTTTTAAATTATTTTTTTCTCTTGTTTAATGCTCGTCAGCAGCTATGATGGTGGGGAGGAGTAATTTTTTTGCAGCCTACTGGCTAGCCTTGGAAGTAGTGCTGAGGTGGGGTTAGGGACGAAAAAATGGTTAAGTCAAATATTTATTCAGCTATTTAATATTCATCTACTAGGGCTGCTAGAAGCAGACACATTTCCTAATTTAAGGATATTTTTGAATACAAAGATGGATGTCCTCCTTTGAGCTCCTAGGTGTCATGTATCTAATAAATAATGTGAATATATAAAGACAAATGAAAAGAACTATGCACAACATGTGTGATTCCTACTTCCCTGACTCAGCTGGGTTCTATCTGATAAGAGCTTTTCATATAAATAGAAGATGAGGAATATTTCCTATCTTAATAGGAGTGAGAACTATAGATCCATATGCCAAATGTGTTATGCCCGAAGAAAGAAATTGGTGTTATGGGAAGATCACTTATCACTGTCCATTATCTCAAATTTCTTTCTCCTAAGTTAATATTCATCTTCAAGGCCCAGTTAGATTTTCTTGCCAAAGCCTAATGCTCAAACTAATTGTGTTTTCCAAATATGGAAAGTGACTTTGAGTTTTGTGTATAGATTAGTGTGTAGAATTGGCCAATAAGTTGGTTTTGTAATTACATTTATTTAATACAATTTTTCAATAAGTCGGGAAAATTATTGTTTGGAAGATACATTACAGACCACTAAGAAAATTATGTATATAATTTCAAGATGTACTATAAAATTGATTAAAATTCAGTTATATCAAAGTGTAGAAAACATCAATATTAGGATCTATGGCATGTAGACTAAAGATTCATAATTGAATAATGCTTAACAAGTCCCCCGTGATGTAGCAAGCATGGGTACTATTGTCTGCCTTGCAAAGGGAAGGCACGAGAGCCATTCAGTCCACAAGTACTTATTAAGCATCCAGCATGTGCCAGGTATGATGCCAAGTTTTCAGCCTGCAACACAGAACAAAGCGAACATTGTCCCTTTTTGTGGATATGTGAAGGGCTCCTAACTGGCTAAACTCACACACTGTGTCAGGCATCTAGAGGTCACCTGTATGTCTAACCAGCCTAGCACGGAAATACGTTACCAAATTAGCCTCCTGAAAATGGTGACAGTTTAAAAATACTAACTCAGATGCAAAAAATACAGAAGAGATAAATAAATAATGTATGCATTTCCAGTCTTTTTCCAAAAAGTACATGTTAATGGTTTCCTGCATACCAGTTTCATTTTTAAACCTTTCCTCTGACCGTAGGAGCTGATGCTGTGGAAGCTCAGTGTAAGAGATTTGAAGTGAGAGCCAGTGAAGATGGCAGGGTGCTGTTTTCTGCAGATGAAGATGAGATTACCATTGGTGCTGAAAAGCTGAAAGTTACAGGTACTGTAGATGGAGGTCTTGGAACATGGTTTACTTCTTTAAAGAACACAACTGCACAAGAAGCTACTTAATAAGATGGATGATTCCTATGCATAAAATAGAGTCTTACATAATCACAGCATTTGTTTTTCAAATAGTCTTCAAATGGACGGCACTGGTTGTGGTTGTAGAAGACAGTGCAGATGTTAGCAGCCTTAATGACATAAAAGTGAAGCCATCTCTCAGGTGGAGGTAGGTGGAAGAAAATGATGTGGCTGGGCGGGGTAGAGATAAGTGCAAATTCTGAGTAAAGGGGACTAACAAATCATAATTAGGGAGTATTATTTTAAAATAAGAGACGTGTGAAGGAACTAAAATGGAAATTTTAACTTTAGAATTAAGTGAGGGGGAAGTTATCATAAAAGTAAACTAAATTCATTTTATATAGCATTCATAATTATCCTCAAAAGTATGTAAATAAAAAACGAATGCTATGCACCTGTTATTTCAAAATCATTATTATAATATGGGGGTCATTAAAGTCAACCAACAGCTGAAATTAAAATTTTAAAAAAGGTAAAAGTGGGACCAGGAGTGGCGAATAATTTGATGACAATTTTAAGCGCAATCTCTTCTGAATTACTTGATTCACAACCATGAGAAATTTTATTTTGATAACATATTTAACAATCCCTTGAAAGTACCCAAGGAGGTTTACATTTTAAAAAACAAGAAGAAAATAATAAAGTATAGTTGACTTAATGTTTCCCAAACTTGAGTTTGGAAACAGCTCATGAGTATCTATCCATATTAACTTGGGTCAAACAGTCCTGTGGGCCACGTGAGAGCAGTTAGCATGGTAGTTGAAGAACAGCAACTCTGTTCTTGAGCTGTTTGGGTTGAATCCTGCCTCTGCCTCAATATATTCAATTCTCGATGCCTCTGTTTTTCCCTCATCTGAATAACTGAAATGATAGTAACTTTAGTGGTCAAATTAAATGCATGTGTGTGCATTTGTGTGATGAGAATGTGCTCAGTCCATAATGAAGATGTTGTGTTGGCTCTTTATATTTATTAATGATGATAATATTGATATTACAAATGTCGGAGACAAGAGGGCCTGTGTTGATTTCGAGATTTCGAGAAAGGTGTGTTAAACTAATGCAGGAACAGAAAGCCAAATACCACGTTATCATTTATAAATGGGAGCTATAAATGATGAGAACACATGCACACGTAGAGAGGAACAACACACTGGAGCCTATAAGTGGGTGGAGGTTGGGAGGAGGGAGAGGATCAGCAAAAATAACTAATGAGTATTAGGTTTAATACCTGAGTGACAAAATAATCTGTACGACAAACCCCCATGACACAAGTTTACCTCTGTAATAAACCTGCACATGTACTCCTGAACTTAAAAATTGTAAAAGGCGTATTGGCTGGACATAGTGGCTCATGCCTATAATCCCAGCACTTTGGGAAATAGAGGTGAGAGAATCACTTGGTTCAAGTCCAGCCTGGGCAATATAGTGAGACCACGTGTCTACCACAGTTTTTTACAATGAACCAGGCATGAAGGTGTGTGTCCATAGTCCCAGCTACTCAGGAGGCTGATGTGGGAGGATAGCTTGAGTTCAGAAGGTCTAAGGCTGCAGTGAGCCAAGATCATGCCAGTGCAGTCTAGCACAAGTGACAGAGACAGACCCTCTCTCAAAAATATAATACAATAAAATAAAAAGATATGTTATTAAATGGTGATGAAATTCAACAGGGATTATTGAATGGGGACCCTCACTGTGTATCCCCTGGCCTGAATCAAATCCTACCATCCTTATCCCCACCCCTGTCCCTCCTTTCCCTTGGGAGCATGTTTGGCTGAGAGGGTGGAGCCTCCACCATTGGGTGAGTGTTTAGGATGGTCCCCATGAATACTTACCTGGTTGATGTCCATTTTTCTTTTTTTTTTTTTTTTTTTTTGAGGCGGAGTCTCCCTCTGTCGCCCAGGCTGGAGTGCAGTGGCCGGATCTCAGCTCACTGCAAGCTCCGCCTCCCAGGTTTACGCCATTCTCCTGCCTCAGCCTCCCGAGTAGCTGGGACTACAGGCGCCTGCCACCTCGCCCGGCTAGATTTTTGTATTTTTTAGTAGAGACGGGGTTTCACCGTGTTAGCCAGGATGGTCTTGATCTCCTGACCTTGTGATCCGCCCATCTCGGCCTCCCAAAGTGCTGGGATTACAGGCTTGAGCCACCGCGCCCGGCCGATGTCCATTTTTCTTAAGACTTCGTGGGAAGGCTAGGAAAGGAGGCATGTATGGAGGGTACAGATTGACCTTCTTGAGTCCTGAGTTAGGAGAGCAGGGATAAAGAGAGAGAGAGAGAGAGAGGTCTGTTTGGCACAGAACACAGACAAATCATAAAGGACATTGGTTGTAGGGCCCTGAGCACTCACATTTGAATTGCTTATTGGTGAGTAAGTGAGGTGCCCTAGGGTAGAAATGCCTTCAGGGGAACTCGGCAATATTAATAGTCTTTGAACCCTGGTAATGCCTATTGGTCATCACTCTTGAGACCAACGTAAGCCTGAGATAAATTTCAGGACATTACAGAACTTATCAAAAAATATATTTAAGCCATATTCAGATATTCTCACTGGGTACTTTACAATCATAAGTAAAGGGAGATTCTAGAGCTCTTGGCAGCTTTTACGATCTCTTGGAATTTTTACTTCTTCTGATATTTATATTACCTTTACCTGTCTCATAATTGTTCCAGTGAAGTAAAGGCAGATATAGTCACATTCATTTTCTGCTTTTGCTTAGTAGCCCGGATACTATCCTTGAAATGTTGCTTGGACTAAGTGCTTCCTTAGCCCAAATAGGCAAGAAAGTGCTTTCTGAAATATCTAAGTTTTTCTGCTTTTTAATTAAGTGCCTTAAGGCGGTTGTCTCTTCTCTCTCCCTTTCTCTTTCTCCTTTGGTCTGTCTCTCTCCCTTCTTCCTCCTATTGCTTCTCCTGCTTCCCCATCCCATATGTGTGTAAAATGTTCTCAATTGATCTTTGTTTTCCAATCATCTCAGACACCCCTAGTTAATTATAAGTCTGTGTCATATGCATTCAGATGATCTTAATAAAATAATAAAGTTACAGCAGATTATTGTAAAAGGTTGAAACATAATACTTAGAATGAAAGAAATACTGACAAACTGTGAGAGTGCCAGTAGCAAACAATGTTGACTTTTAACCTGATGTGGAGGTACAATAGGCTGAACATTGTTAATAAATAAATGGTAAATTATAGAATATTTCATTTGATTAGAACTTTCCTCATTAAACAATCACATTTCTTTGTCTCCTACAAGAACCCATTTACCATTTATACACCCTAGAGTCACAAACATAGACACAGGCACATAGACAAACTAATTCTTGCCAGGCCTTTACTCCTTTACCAGAATAGCAGATATTAAATTTACAACAGCTTCATTCTTTCCCATGATACTCCTTAAAGAAAGAAAAATAAAAATATCAAAGGCAAATATAATTTAGAATTTCATGTGCTTAGAGGAAAAAAAAATGTGTGTAGCATAGCATGCAGTTTTAGAGCATTAAGATTGATTAGTAACCTCACATATACTTTAAAGCAGTGCTTGAATCATTTGACAAATAACAGTACAAAGAGACATTGACTCCAGAGTGCCTCATATAAATTAGATACCTGTGCTGACAGGACTTCAAAGTTAGATGTGACGAGAGATGTGTGTGAAGTTTATTCTAGAATTTCAAATTCGTGGCACAAACTTATTTAACCAATATTTATAGGAATTAAATTGGATCCCTTTCAGCTTTTTATTTTTTGAGCAATGCCATCTTATAAAGGAACTTATCTTTCACGATGATGTCAGTGGATGGATTCATTTAGACAAAGGGTGTGTCTGTACATCTGAGGCAAGATCAGTTATGACTATAGTAATTCACAGATCTAGGGTAGCTCATGATATTTACGTTCACTCTACCTACAAAGCAGCAGGAATTTACCTGATACATTCAGATACTCATGGGTGCGGAAGGACAGAAATAAAATGGTAAATACATACCTGAACACCACCACCTATGAATACCCCATCACCACAAAGAGCAATCACATGCTTAAGGTTTGTGATTTTTCACTCTTGACATTACTTGTCTTGCCCAGCAGAAGTCTGCTTGAATCTTAATATAATGATATTTATTTGACCTTAACATGTCCTCTCTGTATCACTGAAAATATAGGAGTTTTATACTTTAGCTCACCTATGCACAATTGAAAACTATATTTTTATTTTGTATTCCCTACTATTGGCCAAAGGTATGACTGAATCCAATTATCTTTTGAGACATAGTCAACAAGAACAACAAAAGGAATAAACCTTTACACACAGAAGTCTCTTAAATTTAGTGCTTTCAGGCAGAATGAGTCAACTGCACTCTGCAGTTTCATTCGTATTCCACGTAGTATATTAACTTTAGAAAACAAATTTCACGAATAAGCCACTCTCCTTTAACAAGTGAAAGACATCAGCCCCGTAGAATTGTTTCATGATAAATTAAAAGCTATTAGTTAGACTTAGACCTAGACCTATTTTTTTTTTATAATGTAAAAGAGGACAATAGTTAAATGTACCAAGAGAAAGCATATCTGTTTTTTTAGACAGTAGCAATTAAAACTGACAACCCGAAAGTATCGTGAAATCCCACTCTGCATCCACCCAGTGCCCTAGTGTTTGTTTGAAAGCCAAGAGTATCAGTCCTTTGCCTCCATTCTAATTGAATGGTTAGAAGTCTAGACAAGTACCGATGCTTGTTTGACAACAGAAGAAAGGACTTTCTGAAGAGCTGTCTTTTAAATTAAACACCATGCTTCTGGGTTACAGTCAATATCTTCTGGTTTGTTTTTATTAGTTCATCTTCTACATCCTTGTTCTTGTCTATTAAATTGGCACACTGCGATGGGGTCAGCTTTGGACTCAACCTTTCTATTAGATA